GGCTACTTATCTTGTTTCAGACATTATTCCATAGCTTGTCTTAGTGCCAGGAAGTGTTACAGGCTTTAACTGATAAATAGGAAAGGATGGCAGTTTGATGGCAGTTTCTGAACTTTCCAAACAGGTAGTTTCATGCCATGCTTCAGCACTTTATTAGAGTAGAGGGAATTAGAGCACTAGGCAGTTTTCTGAATTAAAATCTGAAGCTGTGCTGACAGTATTTTTGATCTGTCATGCGACACTGGAAATTAATGGTGGGTATGGCAAGCGCTCCTAACAAGGGAAACACTCGAGAATTCTTGATGCTAAGCTCATCTTGCCAGGGCTCTGAGTGCACTGACTGGATTTGCAACCTCTTTCCCTACTCCTAGGAGTTTTACCGTCAGTACTCAAGGCCAGCTCAGACATGATGCTGTTCTGTAACCTTGGATCAGGGTGCTGTGAAAACAGCCAAGTTGAAAGAAAGAGCTATGAGAAGCCTTGTCTGGGTCCTCTGCTGTGTTCAAGCTCAGACCCTTGCCTGTGATTCTTGCCTGAGCAATGCTGTAGCTAGGCTTAGGGTCCTTGCCTAAGCCTGCTACACTGTAGTAGTGCCCAGACTTGCACCTTGAGGATCCTGACCTTGCCTTGCTGACTGAGCTTCCTATCTGCAGCTTGGACCTGCCCTGTCCCTAGACTCACCTGACAGTCACTGAACTGTCACCAACTCTGGCTGCCATCCCTGGGCCTGCCCCCCTGCCTGTCTGGTGTCCTGCCAGGATGCCTCCTGCTCAGTGTGGACACTGGCCCTGCTGCCTCATTGGCACTTGTTGCTCCCATCTCACCTGCCCCCCAGGCAGCCCAGTCCTTGGTGCACCCTGACATGGCTTGCTCAAGCAGAAGCTCTTCATTAAACAGTTTTCTTCCTCATGGATGACCTAGACTGAGGAGCTCTGACAATCCTGTCAAAGCCAAGCAAGCTGCCCTGAGAGATAGGAGCCTGAGCTTTTTATAATGCTCAAGTTGGACTCAGAATCTTGTTGAATTACTTCAGGAGAAATTTAGCCAGCAGCACTGGACAGTTTAATGTCTTGTTTATAAATCATAATGTTGGAGAGAAAGCATAAAATATGAGCAAGGTTTATTTTGGTTTTAACTGCCATTTTGGTCTCCCAGGAAGCACCGCACATCAGACCCTAGGTTTTCCATCAGAAAAAGAAAAAGGAAATTCAAAATGTAATCACATTTTTTTTAAATGATTGGGTTTCATATACAAGCTCACTTATGGCATTTAGATTACAAAATTATTTCAATTTATACCCCCCAAACTAAAAGGAAAACATTTAAAAGTGTTTTAATCCCAAGAATTCAAGCACTTTCTAAACATTGCTGAATTGAACTTTGTAGTTTTCCAGTAAATTGTGAACTGTTTCTTCCCTAATCCTATAAAAAGAAAATGAACAAAGGCTAGTGTCATTTACTCAAATGATAAATAGCCTTTTATAATTAAGGTATTTGTTTTGGACTTAGTGTCATTCCATGACCATCTAACAAATGTCCATGACATCTAACTGTGCTCCTGTTTAAACGGTGGCACATCCCATTCTCCAGTATTGGTCACAGTTTTCTCATGTCTCCCTTGTTTAGCCTGTCTATCACTTGTTTGGCTGCCCAGTGACTAGCCAGTGTTTTCAGATGAACCCAACCAGGAATTAAGCAGCTGTCAACCACATTAGATTCCTGATCTTGCTGTGAGGCTGTGTGAAATCCCATCCTAAGAAAATACATGTTGCACTCCCAGTTTTGCTACGCACTTCTTTTATGACCTTTAGCAAATCCCTTAAGCTTTCCCTGTTTCCACTTGTGAAATCGAGATAATTATATTCCGTAGTCTTTTTGTATGAGAAGATTAATTTATTAATATGCATGAGATGTTCATATCCTACAGTGATGAAAGCTGTAGAAGTTCCTAGATCAACTCTTTTATATGTTTGAATTTTATTCATTCACAACTACAGAGACTTCATTCCTGCTAAAAGCCTCAATAAGCCAGACACCTCTACATCATCTTAATGATAATAAACTGGAGTGCAAAACCAACAGTAATCTTTAGTTTATTGTCATTTTCATGGTGACCGTATCCTAAATTCATTCAAGTAATCATACTGGAAATAGTGATTTCTGCAGGTTCCAAGAGGTATTTGTTGTAAAAAGGCTACTGTTGCCAATACATGAATGGCTAGCATGTAAATATTCTAAATGTATGCAAAATTCTGAATTCTGAAAGTTTGAAATGTATAATCATTGGTGTGCCATCATTATTTAGGTAACGAGCCACTGGTGCTCATGCTGCTGGAATTAGCAAGAGATTTTTAGCCGGTGATTTTAAAGTTTTGGCTGGTTTGGTAACAAGAGCAAGTTAACTGAAAAATGCCTTCACACGATTTTCCAGTGTAAATGCTCCATTGTTTCCATCTCACCAGGAGGAAGAACTTTACATTGAGGGTGGCAGAGCACTGGAACAGGCTGCAGGGGGAGGTTGTGAGTCTCCTTCTCTGGAGATATTCAAAATCCACCTGGAGGTGTTCCTGTGTCATCTGCTCTAGGTGGTCCTGCCTTGGCAGGTGTGGGTTTAGACGGAATGATCTTCAGAGGCCCCTTCCAACCCTAACATTTCTGTGATTCTCTATCAAGTAAGATGCTTTTTGTAATGTGAATTGCCAAGAAGATACTCGTGTTCTTTGTGAGCAGAAACTAACCTAAGCTGCAAGCTTTGACGAAAGCAAGCATCCTAGTGACAATAATGGGCATGTTACCTATTTAACTATGCTTTCACCAGAGGAGAAAGGGAGGTTGAAAGCATTTAGCCTGCTCCCATCAGCACCAGCTGCTGTTGTGTCAGCCTTCATATCTCATGATGTTGTTTAAAGACAGCTGTCCCTCGCTGCTACCAAATTAGAGGCTTTTGGATCTTACCTACATAATCGGAGAGAGCTGTGCTACAGTATGTGATGGTCATAAATGCAATCTTAGACTATTTTTGGGGGGAGAGCATGGTTTTAGTTCACTTGTTTCTCTGAGGTTGAAGTGATGGTAGAGAGAATAGTTCCTTCTTTCTCTGATTTAGTCTATGCTAGGATATACTGCTGTTTAGGTTGCATCTGCTGCCTTTCTATTCAGAAAAAAATGGAGTTTAGGTGGATGCTGTCCCTTGTCTATGCTACTGGCGTATGTACCATTGCTTATAAACTAATGTTATTCTTGCCTAAATCCTCCAAACCTAAAATGGAGTCTGAGTTATTTTCCTCTAAACACTTTTTTTTCCCATCTGCTGGGAATTTTTGAAAGGTCTGAGCATGGCTTAACTCTTCTCCCATGGTGGCCTACATGATTTTAAATATTGCCGGTTTTGATTGTAGCCTGGCTATGTAAAGCTTTTATTCAGTCACCAAAAGGTTGATTCCAAAGTGGACTCAGTGACCCAGACAATCTCATGGAGTCCTATGTCTTCAAGCTTAGAAATGCCAAACCACGTTCAGAGGGGACCATTCTGAACTGTCATCAATTCGGAGAACAGTGATTTTTACGTGATTTCTGTCCCTTCCTCTGGGATCTCCAAAATCGGCGGGTTGCTATTTTTCCCAGTGTCCGAAAAGCCTTGCGGGAGCAGCGCGTAGCGGGCGCGGCCGATTGCGGCGCTGCGGGTCCTTCCCCGCCGCCTGCAGCAGGGGGCGGGCGGCCCCACGCACCGGCCCCGCTCGGGGCCCGCACCGGCGCTGGGGCGCTCGGACCTCTCCTCCATGGTACCCGGAATGCACGGAACACTTCCCGCGGGTCTATCTGTTTATAAAATTGCCATCCTGGAAGGTTCTTCTGTAAAAACTGCTCATTTCGACAAATTGCAGAGTGCAGGTGCACCTAGAAATTCCCAAAGCTGTAGTGCTTACTTCAACAAACTGGGACAATAATAGGGACAAAAATAACTCTAATGGTATCAGATGTTAACCAGAAGTTTAAATAGTCATATGGTAGCAGCATCACAGAAATTCATGCCTCAGGAACTAACCACCTCCTACCCTCCCTGCCACCATTCTCAACAACTGAGTACAGATGGAGAAATTGGCTGTGTTCCATCAATAGTGAGTAACCCATTTTCTGTGCTGATTGATTTGGCCTGTGCTGTTGCTCTCTTACTTACCTCCCCCCCTCCACCCCATGCTATTGCTGGCAGAAAGGCCTTGGCATTAAACTAAATACTGAATGACAATTTAATATTTCCTCTTTAAAGTCTTGCTGACCTTTAGTTTTGTGGCAAATAATTTCTAATTTGAGTATAGGAAAATATTTCAATCACCTAGCTTTTAAAAATAAGATTGACAGGAATCATTGGTTTAGCACAAAAATGTGTGGTTTTTTTTTTTTTCTTCTACTACTACTAGAAGCCTTTGTTGCTTGTGAGAAAATGGTGCAGTGCACAAATGATTCCATATTTACAAGTTGCCGATACACCTTCTGATGAAACATTAAGCAGTGGCTGGGATGACTTCTTCCTTCAGCTTTCTCAGCAACATAACAAAAGAAAAATAACTTGCTTTTTTGAATAACCTTCAATTAACTGAAAGTCTTTGCTGAATAAGCCACATAAAAAAAATTTAGTTAGTAGAAGAGGATTATCCCGAACTGAACTAGGACTGAATAAAGTATCCAACAGGTGTTAGTTGTTACATGTATCTTAGTGTGAATTTAAATCACATTACATCATACTACCTCACAATTTAAGAGGTTCAGTTCTTTTAATCTCAGTTCTGACTTCGAAAGCTTTCCTCTTCACGTACTGTATTAGTTCCAACTACCGTAAATTCATGCTGTAGTAGGAAGTGAGATTGTGAAATACATGGAAATCTTTTACTACCACTCTTTCTTCCAGATCTCCATAGATCTTAAAATACAAAGCATTCAGAGTAGGAGTGAGACTGTAGACTACTAGCTATTTTCTGTTACTTCATAGTAAGTAAAATCCTGCTGATATCACAAACACTTGACACAACTAAAAGGGTAGAAAAAAAATGTATTAACAGCAGAGTTTCATCTAACACAGGGGCTTTTTTAACCTGACCTTGTATAATGGGAAGCATTAGAGAAGTTTAATTATGATTCTTATTTGTTTATATCACTTGTTTCTGGTTAGCCAAGAGGAGCATTCTCAAATGTACTCAGTCCTCGGTGGCATGAGCTGAGGCAGTGTCTGCACTGAGATGACATGGTGCAGTTCTGCTACTCTCTCATGAAAGGGACGCTCATGTCATATGGCGATTTAACCACTTTGCAGGAGTGCAGCCCGATCACCGATGAAAGCAAACGCTTTCTTTACGTCCCCAAATTTTAAATACAAGTCATCTTGCGACAGCAGTGCTCTCGGCAGTGACACTTGTGAGCTGTGCTCCAGAGAAGTCTGTGTGCTTCTGTTACCGGCCTAACAGGTGCAGCATCCCCGCCACGGGACAAGGCTTTCCTGCAGAGCTTCCCGGCCCCGCGCTCGGTCCTGGCGGATCCCGCAGTCCGCCGGCAGGGCCGTGGCCTGCACACGCTCAGCCCGCAGCCCTACACAGGACTTCGCAGTGCTTCCAGCCGCGGAGAGCATCCCAGGGAGCCGCGGGATGAGCGGGGAAGGACGATGGGCAGGGATGCCGCCAGCAGGCGGACAGGTAAGGAGGCGCGGGGGGAAGGCGGCGATCCCGGGGGGCCCGGGGCCGCTCCTGGGGGGCGCCTCTGCCGGAGCAGCTCCGCTTCTGCCGCGGGCGAGGCGCGTCCGGGGGCAGGGCCGCGCCCTGCCGGCACCGCACCGGCACCGCCGGGCCCAGGCACCGGGCTCGGGCTCCGTCTCCCCGCAGCGGCGCGGGGCGAGCGGCCGGGGCCGGCGGCGGCGCCCGCCTCTGCCTCCTCCCCCTCGGTGCCCTGCCTCCTCCCTCCGCCGGGCGGGCGGCCGGCTGCGCGGGCAGGGCGGGCGGCAGGCAGAGCGCGGCCGAAAGGTGTTGCTGGAGGGGAAGTTTGGAGAAGGTCGCCGGGTGCCTGGGCGCTCCGGCAGCATCATGGCGGAGCAGGGCGAGTCGCCGGTCCACGTCCAGCAGCCCCAGCCGGCGGCCGCTCCCGCCGCCCCGGCCGCCGGCTGGCCCATCTGCAGGGACGCCTACGAGCTGCAGGAGGTGATCGGTCAGTGGAGCGGGGGCGCGGCGGGGCGGAGGCGGGGAAGGCAGGCAGGGATGCCGTGGCGGCCGGCCGGCCCCGGGCCTACCGGCGCTCGCTCTCCCGCAGGCTGGGCTCGCTCACTGCGGTGGACGCGCCCGGCACTGCAGCGGCGGCGGCGCCGGCTGCTGCTGCTGCAAACTTTATCCGCCCGGCAGCGGGCGGGCGGGCGGCCCCGGGGGGCGGCGGCTCCTTCTAGAACGCGCCGCGCCCCGCCCGGTGCGGCTCGGCGGTAGTGCCGGTGCTGCCCCGCGGTGCAGCGGCACCCGCCGCTAGAGCTTTGACCTGCTGGTCGCACTGGGACCCCGGCAACTCCGTGGATGCGGTCTCTGTGCTTTGTGTGCCTGCGTGTGTGCTCGCCGTGGATGCGCACATGTGCGTGCATCCGCTTAGATTACTCTGCATTTTTCCGATGCTTTCATGGGGGAGGTAAATCTCACCCATAGATCTGCTATTCACGTGATGACTTTCTCTTAATCCATATATATGTATCCTCTTCTCCCTCACTGTTTAATCTCGCTCCCATCTCCTTGTGTCCCTCGGCCCCGTCCCCGGCGATGGCACGTAAGGCCAGCGGGGGGATTACACTTCGCGTTGACCCCAGCCAACCTGCTTCTGACCCGGTTTGCCGTGTGAGGTTTAACCTGTCTGCCGCCCCCCTCCCATGTACCTATAGGAAGAGGACTTTCTGGTTGTGTGCTTCAGTGCTTCGTTCACGTGTCCAACTAACGCAGATCAGATGTGTTCAGTCTCCATTCCCTTTATTTGGATTAGATTATTTTGAATTTTACTTTGTGTAAGGGTAACTGTTGTTAACAGTATGTGTGATGGAAAGTTTTTCATCTCTTGGCCTATATGTTGCTTGTTGCTAATTAACTACTTTAGGATAACTTGGTTTTATTTATATGCAACATTTTAAACTTCCAGCAAATACAGATGACAAAGGCCAACTCTAAGACTGCTGTTTCTTAGGAATGAGGCCACTTAAGTGAAAAAAGTCCAGGAGTCTTACCTGCTCATGCTGTTGATTTTCTTCAGTATTATACACCAATTGCTAACTCTTATCAGGGTGATGACAACCAGAACTACATGTTATTGATCTGGGTTGGAAGTTGTGTGTGCTCAGCTTTGTCATTAAGCATTTTATTTTCCACTGGCAGAAACAAAATAGTTGAGAAAAGTACTTCTTCCTTATAATGAGATGGCTTTCTGTTGACCCAGGTGGTGCTTTTGTGGTTCTGTTTGCATTTCCTAGGCTGTGAATAGGGGCTAAGGAGGGATGAAGGTTCAGATGTTCAGGTCCCTGGAGGTGCCTGACTTGGACCAGTCTGGTGCTGTGTTGAACAGGTGCTGCCTGTGGAGGCCCCCCCCGGGGTATGGGTTTACTGGACTTTGTCTTTCTCACTCTGGGGAATGGATCAGTTAGCCAAGTGGAAGCAGTTCTACTAGCATAAAGATGTATCTTTGCTGAGGAGTAAATCCCTCTTCTAAGGTAAAAAAGGCCTCAAAGGTATTGGACTAGTCCTTGTCTAGGGTATAACATGAGCCATATGCGTTATTTAAATAGTAGTTGTTTTTCTGTTGCAATACCTGTAGAATGCCTCTGTGAGAGTTTCCTTTGGAAACTCCTTTCCTTCTTTCCACTTAAAAAGCATGTATTTTTTGATATGTAAAATGTATTTCTAAATGTTTATATGTAAGAATACACCCATTAAACAGGTGGATGCTAAATCTGTAGATAAACTTTATTGCTAGTTACCTATGCGTGCTTTTAAATGTTGATATAATTTCTTTAACTGACTGCCTAGGGAGGAAATTGAAGTCAGGGTATATTGAATCAGATTCTTGGACACAATGAACTTGCCTGCCTTAACTTTCACTAAATTTAGGTTGCTTACATGACTTTATTTCAAACTCACGGAGATTTATTTTGTACCAGTTGACTTAAAATTTTATGCTTAGTCAAATACGTCTTTTTTCATTAACACCTTCTATTTGTTCTCTTAATTTAAAGGAGACTTACTATGAGATTAAATTTAGAATTAATACCATCAAAAATAGTAAAAAACCAACCAAACATGCCCCACCCCACTTTCTCCAAAAAACCCCAAACCAACACCCCTATAAATGCTATGCATTTGACAAAGTGCAGACATAATTTTAGAGCTGTTGGAGAATGTTGTTTGTTTTAATGAACCTGGTGAGGGACTCTTAAAGCATCTCTTTTATATCTGATGGAGGAGGGAATGACATAGTCTTACCGTCGTTCACCGGTAGCTCTTTGTATGGGCTGTGCCAGGGTTAAGTGCATGGTGAACATGAATAGTTACCACTTGCTGAAACAGAGCCAGTCACCTCTGGAAAGCACTCATACCTCTCCCTGAGGAGCTGGGTACTGTCTTCAGGGAGGAGTTCAGTTACAACAGCCCTTTGCCAGTCAAATGAGAAAAATAACAATATATTGAAGTGCCTTTGTGGGCTTTGCAGGAGGAAAGGTGTGCATGGTGAATACACCATGATGGTTTATCATCAAGCTTCCAAATGGAACAGGCTTTAGATTCTCTGGTAACTAAGCACAGATGCAGAATGGCCTTTTTTAGGGGGCATTAAAAAGTTTTGGTGGGGATTATAAAATGAAAGTAATTGTTAGTCATATGGGCATCCATCTCTTTGATTTAGCAGGTCAGAGAAGTTTTGTTCTTTTCCTCTGTGAGAATGTGAACTTTTCTTATTGCTCATCCGTGTCTAGCCACATGCTATTTTGAAAACCAAGGCCACGTGGTATGGATTTCCAATGATAAAGCTTTTTTGTCTGTTGTATCCTTCATGATGGCTGGGATATTCAAGGGCCTGTTGAAGACAAAATGCTAGTTTTAAGGAGGGCTTCTTATGAGATGTTATTTGCTTTATTTTCGAGGTGGCTAACTAGTTCTCTGTAAACTCTTGGTGTGCAGTTTCATGATACATTTATTCTGCTCTAACGGGCAGCTGCTGAAAGGATCTCATTGATCTGACAGCGAACTAGTTCTTCTGCTGGGTCAGTTTTCTGTTGGATCAGATTCCCTGTTTGACTTGCTGCATGACTGCGTGATTGATAGGTCTGATGCAAGGAAGAGGCTCTTCCTATTAATGCCTATATACTAATCTTTTCTGGAGCAGGAAAAAACCATTCTGATTGCTATCTGTAAATATATAGAGTGGAAAGGTAAGAGGAAATTTTCACATTAATTGAGATTGATACAGGCTGACTGTAAACAAACGCATTTGGAAGTTAGAAGGGGATTCCTAACTGTTAGGACAGGAGAATCCAACCAACCTTCCGGCAGTAGTTACAGAGATAAGAACTGTAATTGCTATTAAGGTAGAGCCAGATTTAATTTAGTGAAGATCTGGGAGATCTCTTTCTAAGATTTTAATGCATTAAGTTAAAATGCACAGTGGAATTTTTTTTTTTTTAAGATGGGTATAACTTGGATTAAAAAAAAGCAGCTAATAAAAGCAATACTTTGAGAGGTGTTCTTATGCAGTTTGGGTTTATAACCAAATATTCAGAATAAAATAACTGAAATAGATTTCTCTGGATTTCTGTCATGTACATATGAGAGTTTTTTTCCTCAGAAGCAATATAAATCTTCACAAAACAAACATTTAAATCATAATTAACATAAGAAATTGAATAGTATTAAAATTGTCTGTATTTTTCACATTGTAATGAGCCTTACATCACCTGGATGAGACAAAGCAGCATTAAATCTTGGTTGGGTTTTTTGTTTGATTTTGGGTGGGTTTTTTATTAGTTTCTGTTTTGGTTTTAAAAGGTTTTCTTAAACTGATATGATCAAGTGGCTTTGACTTGTGTTTGGAAAATGACTTCGGACTTGATGCTCCTCTGCTGGATGTAATTTAATGTTTGTCATCTTGCATTGATAGTTGTGGAAGGTTGATTCTATTATGGAAAAGCAGTGGGTTATCCTGTGATTAGCTTGGGTGCTAGTTTTCATTATAAAATTATATTTTTTCTCTCTTCTACTGCAACTAACTTGGAAAATTAATTTGGCTAGGAAACAACCAGAATTAGATCGAAAATAAAGGGTTACTTTTACGAGATGGATTATCTCTATTGACTGCAACTCATTAAAAATGTTACCCTAGTTGAACTTGTGCATTTGTCTAGTTTTGCCTTTCCAACTTTGAGCTCAAAAATATCTTGTGGTTTGTTGCCTCATAAGGCACAGTGTTACTAAGTCAAATGTGTTGGGATTTTGAGTAGAACAAGTTACCATTTGAGACTGTTCTGCCGATTTTATGGTTCTTATTGTAAGCAGCCTGTGAACCACTCTCAGTTAATGGCTCTGGGGTCTTTGTTGGTGTTTCTATGGTATGTTATTTACTTTTTCTTTCTCCCCTGCTGCATATATTGCTAATGGATCTTTGTCTGACGGAGAATAGACTCTCCTATATT